AGCGAAGCTCACCGTTAAAGAAACTCCAATAAAATACAAGAGTAAAATCATATGACCAAGGGTGAGCGAAGCTCACCCAATCCCCCATAGCATGCGAAGCATGTTTGCGTAGCAGTTACAACGTTAGGCGTAGTAATACACTACGCCAAACGTATTATTATACTTTGTCTTGTATAACTTTATAATAGCTTATAATTAGATATGATCAAAGTAATTACTATATTAAACTTTTATGATCTACAACATTTTATAGAGTTAAATCATACTTTACATTGGTATAATAGCTAATTAGAGTATAATAGATAGTATATATATATATAGAGTTATTGAATATTAAGAAGGAGTGAGCTTCTTTCTTGTATTGGTTATATTTTGAGTATACCATAAACGTAGTAAATAAATTACGAGTGTATAGTTAATTGCTAACTAGAATAGCAAGTGTGCAAATCTGGTAAGATGATTGGATTAGTATTGGTAACCGAAATCTTTTTGACCAAATCCAAAAGTTTTGGGTTTCAGATTATAGTTTCTGAAACCTTACCCGAAACTCGAAATCTGAAACCTCACCTGAAACCCAAAACCTCCCCCGAAACTCAAAACCTTACTCGAAACCCAAAATCTTGTCTAAAACATGAAACTCTACTAAAACCTAAAATATTTCCAAAACCTGAAACTTTATCTGAAACTTGAAATTTTATTTATAGTTATTTTTATAAATTCTAGAATATTTAACAAAAAATTTGCTAAACAATTTTTTAGCCAATTTAATTAAGTTATTAATTTTGGCATAATATATTTAATATAAAATTTAAGATTAGATAACTAATATAAAATTTTTATAAAATTTTTGTTTAAAATTGTTTGAAATAGTTTTGATTTTTAAACAAGAGTTTATTCTTATACTATTTTCATTGCAGAATATTAAAATAAAAAAGTTTAATTAAATATTTATTTTATAAAAATATATAATATCCAATAAACATTATGTAAATATTCAATACAGAATCAATTTATTAAACAAAAAATTAGATAATTTCAAAATAGTTCTAAAAATTTATATATATTAATTATTAAAATTATTATTTAATATAATTATTTTTATAATTTTATTTAGATTATTAATAAAAATCTTTTAGTTATAATAAATAAATCTGTTAAAACAATTATTTGTAAAAAAAATAAATTTTTTAATAATATTTATAATTTAGTTAAAAATTTTAAATCTATTAAAGATACTATTATTAAATTAGAAAGCAAAAATTCAATATTAGCTAATTGTTATTTTATATTAATCAGTTTAAAAATTTTAATTCATAAAATATCTAAAGAAACTTATAAATATTTTTATTATTATGCTACAATGTATTTAATTAAAGATTTGAAAAACATTAATTTGATAAATATCTTTTAGTATATTTTCTTTATTTAGGCTATAAGAGTAAATTAATTATTATTTAATTTTAAATTATTTAATATTTAAATTATTTAATTTTAAAATTTATAAATTATTTAGATATTGATATTCAAAATAAATTTTTAAGAATTATAACTTCAGCAGCTAATATATGACACAAATAATAAAAATATAAATATTCTAAATAACAATCAGAAGATATACTTATTGGTTAATTTAGAGAATTTTATTTAAATAAAAATTTGTTGTATCTTTTTTATAAAATATTGATATAGCTTTAAGTTGATAAAAAATATATATAACAATACTATTATATTTACAATTACTTGAAATTATACCTTTTTCAATTACTCTATATACAATAAGTTGTAAAAGAATTTGGTCTATTTGTGAATAAATAACAAAAAAATAAAAATAAATTTATTAGTTAAAATTTTAAATTATTAGTTAAGATATATTTTTTATTATTATTATTTTATTTATATAAATATATTTTTATCAAATATTTTATAAAAATAAATTTAATTTATATATTATAATTTTAAAATTTTCAAATTATATTTTTGAAATTTCAGATTATAGTTTCAAAATTTTGAATTATAGTTTCAGGATTTCAGATTATAGTTTCAAGGTTTTGGGTTTCAGGGTTTTAGTTTTTTTTTTAAAATCTGAAACTAGCTTCGGATTAGTACCTTCCAAAACTAGTTTTGGGTAGGTTTCGTTTTGAGTACTAACTTTAGATTGGGTGATGGTTGAATATATAAAATATAATAAAATTCATATGTATGAATGAATATGTTGAAATAAAACATATTATTAACAGATTTGGATGGTCTATTAAAATTACAGCTATTCACAAAGTAGTGTTTTTGAATTATGATTTATTAAGATTTACAGTAATTAATTTTGAAGTATGATATTGGCAAAGCATATACATCAAACGACATTATATGCAATTAGTTTTTCTAAAAAAAAAATAAAAATAGTAAAATAAAAATAAAACAATAAAATAAGAGAAAAAAATTAATAAAATAGAAAGTAGTAGAATAAATAGAATTACAAATAATAAAATAAATAGAAATAACAATAATAATAAAATTAAAAATAATAAAATAAGTAGAAATAATAATAATAAAATAAAACAACAAATTAACTCTTAATATAACATAAAAAAAGTCAGTAAAGGTCAATATATATGTTTCTGGCATGAGAGTAACTATGTTATGCAGCTAATCTTAGAATTATTTTTTTGATATATAATTTATTTGCATAAAAGGTTAGTCAAACTATTTAATTAAATAGATAGCGCAGAAATTTGTTCATACACAATATTTGATTTTTTTTTATGCACAAATTTTTTATACCAATTTTTCATCAATCCTACGCAATTCCTTATTCTCTATAAATTTTTTATTTTTCTGAACTATATAATTTAGTTCGGCGAAAAAATCTGTATCTAGATAATATTTTCTTAGCACAGATTCCAATACTAAGACTCTATCATTAATAGTGGCATCTGTTCTAAGTTCATTTAATTCATATGGGTTGTTAGCAAAAAGAATTCTAGCTTTAGAAACATGGTGTTTAGCTGTCTCAATTTCAAGCTTTTTGTATATATTAAAGCAACATAAGACTTATACATAAGTCTTCTGTAGTTAAATAGCAATGAAAAGTTATATTGAGTTATTTTCAGGATGCTTGAATAATCACTAATAATACAGTAGTGTATGTACCTACCAAGGGGAAGTTTCGGGCTTCCAAAGAGCAATGTATATATTCTAGAACAGTACCATAAAAACCACCAAGAGATGAAATAATGAATAAAACTTAAAAAGTTGAATAAATAATTAATATTGTATAAAATTTTAAAAATTTAATAATATGAAAAGATATTTACTAGTGTAGTTAAAGTTTGTTCCTTCTTATATAGAGTCTTTGGTTTTAATACTAAATAAGTATAGTTAGAAGCTTTAATTTGAAGCTCTTTGATTTCAGCATTGATGAATGCTTCTTTTTCGGTAGGTTCAAATCCCAATCCTTTTATGAAAGCACTGTTGTAAGTCAATTATATCAATTACAATAACAAACCACACACTCGATCTACCCACCCTAAATTATCACAAATAAAAAACTTCAAAATCAAATTTCTCATTAATGAATTACCGGATGAACTATAGAATAGCGTGTACTAATACACTCGATAATCACATTGTGATATCTGGTTCAAAATATGCTGTTGT